CGTATGACTGAAGTCGTACAAATTAGCCACTAATCTGGCAAAATGTAAAATACATATGTTTTCGCACTGCAATTTCTAACTTTTTTATTTACTGACCAATCACATCAATTTGTACAATTTAATTCGTACAATTTGGTATGATTTGCTCTTCACCCAATGACGGTTGGGTTTAGGGCTGGGGTTGGGTGCCACGCCTTCTTTTTAAAATCATACATTTTCGTACAATTGAACTCGTACGAATTAGCCACTGTACTGGCAAAACGTAAAATACTTTAGTTTTCTTGTGAGATAAGGCTGGAACTTCCTGACCCCTAGAGCTATGTTGTATACAGATCAATGACAGTTTAAAGCAATGCGTTAGCTACTTTACCTATTAGTTAAGTAAAATCACTGTCCATTGAGAGAATCTCCTTCTCCATTATTTCCATGTGTTCAACATAATGAAAATACTTCCATTGCAGACATGTAAGGCTCTGACCTGCCATCTTGGTTTCTGTCTGTTCCCGCATTCTCTCATTGAGTGCATGATTCAACATGACTACATTAATTTGAATCCAACTATTTATTTTTAACAGCTAATTAATTAAACTAAAAAGTAACTTGCATTACATTATTTAAAAAACGAACTCAAATATTATCACTTATTTTTGTTTAAGTACGTTATTTTACTTGTTACGTAGAAATTTCATAGTATTACATAACTTGCTTTACTTGTAATGTGTTACCCCAAAACTGGAAATACCTGTAATGCTAACTTGCTAAAGCTTGCTAAATGCTAAAACTCAAACCTGCTCATTTAAAGGCAGGAACTGGCAGGCCTTGCTCCTCAACCACATCTCCTGGCCGCACCCGTATCCATCACCACTTCCAAGGCAACCAATCACAGCTCTAGGACTACACGTTGTCACAACAAATAATTACATTTTTGTGAGAAGTGCACATCAGGGTCGGCATCAGTCAAGGCAAGGTTTATACCAATGTCACAGAACTAAAAATCTGGATTTAAAAATTGCGACATCTATGGCATTGTACTGTGTGATAAAACTGCACATTTTACAGCGTGCTTTTAGTGTGGCCAGCCTAAGCATTCTGATATCCCACAGCTGTGAGATAGATGGATTGTCTTGGCGAAGGAGAAGCACTCACTAACACTGCTTTAGATCAATGTGTGAAAAATATAGAGAAATCTAGACCTTTTGTGCAAGTAGAAAAGTTTTTTTTTTTTTTTTTAATTTAAAAAGTTGGACCAAAAACCAAAGTTTTGCGTTTCAATTTTTGTTCAGTGTACGAAAACAGTGTAACTACTGCAATAATAGTTTCTTCCTACACTTTTGTGTTTCATGATTTAATTTTTTCCCCCCAATTAATTTATGCTTTTGAATCATGAGAACTTGACCTTTCTTCTGACAACTTTTAAGCCTAAAAAGTTAGAAAAAGTGACTTTTATTAACATTTTTAATTGTTTAAAGCAATATATTGTCTGGCGAGGCAGTGGCGAAGTAGGTAGTCGATGGGTCGCTGGTTCGAACCTCGGCTCAGTTGGCGTTTCTGTGTGGAGTTTGCATGTTCTCCCTGCCTTCGCGTGGGTTTCCTCCGAGTGCTCCGGTTTCCCCACAGTCCAAAGACATGTGGTACAGGTGAATTGGGTAGGCTAAATTGTCCGTAGTGTATGAGTGTGTGTGTGAATGTGTGTGTGGATGTTTCGCAGAGATGGGTTGCGGCTGGAAGGGCATGCGCTGTGTAAAAACTTGTTGGATAAGTTGGTGGTTCATTCTGCTGTGGCGACCCCGGATTAATAAAAGGACTAAGCCGACAAGAAAATGATTGAATGAATGAATGAATGAATGAATATATTGTCTGGGTTATCTTGTAATTTGCTGCCACTACATTTTCTGTTATTTTACAAATTTATTTCTCTATATATTATTTCTTATTATATTATTTCAAGTTACTAAAATGTCAATAAAAGTCACTTTATTAACATCAAAAGTCGACAGACCAGAGATTAACATCCCATACTGCAATTCACAACCATAAATGAAAGGAAAACACAAAACACGGAAACTGTTAACTCACCAATATTTTTTCTTAGTGTAGAGTAATATAGATGTCATTTCTTCAGGCATAAAATTAATCAACAAAAATATTGAGTGCACTAAAATGACTATAAGCAGTCAGTACACTGAAAAAAGCAATACAAATGGCTGACTATTTTCAAACACACACACACACGTGATCCATTTTTGTGGAGTGATTTTTTTTGTTTCAATTTCTGTTGTTTGTAGGAAAACAATAAGTGTTACTATTGCAGGAATAGTTCCTTCAACGGTATAAAATGTCATTAATTCAGGCATGAGATTAATCAACAAACATATGTAGTGCACTGAAATGATTGTAAACAGTCAGTACACTAAAAAAGGCAATAGAAACAGATGACTTTTTACAAATGAAACATTCACTTGAAATTAAATGCATACATTTTCATTAAAAATTTAATTAGACAAAAATAGAGTTGTCTTGTAAAACATATTCCAATTATATTTTTATAACAAATGTATGAAATCAATAGGCCACTTGAAGAATAATATTTCTCAAAAAAATATATATTTTACACATATTTTAACACAAATGAACACAACAACTTTAAGTGGCATTTTGGCATATTGTGGCTATATTGCTTGACATAAAACAGCAGCTAATTTGAAATATAAGGACACAAATCAGTGTCTCTGCATGTTGATGATACGTTTATAACCCTACTGTGACGAAATGTTGAGCAACATTTCAATTTTGCCTTGTCTGTCCAACAACACATTGAGTTATTTCTTTTCTCTCAGGCAATTCGCACAAAATATAGGTTTAATCACATTTTAATATTTAATGTTACATTATATATTAAGTAGGTGCTTGGGATTGTAAGAACAGATGAATTTGCAATGAACAAACATCAGCTTCTAGGTAATAAAATGAATAATGAGCAATACATTAATATTAAGCCTATAAAACGTTTTAGTAATATTTTATTATTATTTGTTATTTTGCAAATAATTTCATAATACTGAGTTGCGTCTGGTGGGGCATAAACTGCATAAAATCAAAAGTAGCCAAAGTAGTCGGCGGTTCATTTTGCTGTGGAATCTGAGCCAATGAAAAATTAACAAATGATTAAAAATTTGCAAATAGTTTACATCTATTCGAAAACTTGAGTAAGGGGAAGCTGCAGGCCCGGAGACCCAACTGCACGCTCAGACCTGCGAGCACAGAACTGCACTTCCAGACCAGACAGTGCCCCCTGCTGTTGGGTTGGGTGAAGCGGCAGGTACGAAGACCCAACTGCACACTCAGACCAGCACTTTCTAGTAAGTAGCAACATCAGAAAAGCCAGTAAGGTTATTGATTATTAAAGCGATTCCTGAAAATTACCAAGTTTTATGACATAAATCAATGTGGTGTAAAATATTACACTAACAAACAATTATTTGTGTTTGATTTGATTAAAATTAGTGTCAAAAGAGCATTATTTTATGATATTTAAAGCTTGCTATTATTTTAAGTTTTATTGTCCTATTCTGGAACAATTTTGTAGCAATGTTTTCTGGCAAAAAAAAAAAAAAAAAAAAAACTTTAAAGTAAAAATGTTAAAATAAAATGTAGGCTATAATATATAGAACAATTATTATTTGTAACGTATTTTAGTGCTGTATAGGTCAACAGTACATATTACTGTATTATCTATCTGAAAGTGCTACGAAAGACAATAACAGTGTATCAATTATTTATAAGTTCTATAATGATTACAAACACGTTTTTTGGTAATCAAAATATCAGTTAATCTGCATAGAATTTACAATATGAGCTCTCTTAGGTGAAATCAAAAATAATTTGCTTGTGGAGTGTATTTTTTCCCAGATTGATATTACATTTAAAAAAGTGGGTCTCTGCCAACAATAATACAATGTACCAAAGACTGCAGATATTTCCAGTTTTTTGCTCTAGTAATGAAAAATCTTCCCAATAAGAATATAAAGCATTTATGTTATTTTCTACGTAAAAAATAATTATTACTCCAATTATTATTTTTCACAATATTTCTATGCATTGTTTACAACTTGACTTGTAGGACCTCATGAAAAAGTACAACAAATAAAGTTTGTTGTGAGAAAATTACTTAGAGTACTATAATTGTATGTGTATGAAATTTATTGTATATGAAGATAATATTCATTCCCTCAACTCAATACGAAACAGTGATAAATCCTTAATAGTAAAAAACAACAACAAATATTGAAGTAACTGAACAGTATCTATTTACAAATACAATTAATAAAAATACAACAGAATTAATGCATTAAATCAAAAATCTAGTATGTTTAATATTTCATATAATAATCTATTCACTCATAGCCTAATATTTTATAGTAGAAAATAGTTTAAATTACAATTTAGAGGCAGCTGAAATCAGGTTAGTCGATCTTTTAAACAGCAGGTGGCACTGTGAAGGTCTGGAAGTGCAGGTCTAGCAGCTGAACGAGCAGGTCTGAGCGTGCAGTTGGGTCTCCGGGCCTGCAGCTTCATACTATTGTTTTCCAATAATGGGCGCTAATGGGCGCTAGATGGCGCAACACGGCTACTCATTGCATTATAAAGTACAGAAATGCATACATTTCTTAAAATAAATGTAAAATGTAATTTTTTTGTATAATTTGTAAAACTGTTATATGTTTGTTTATATATATATAAACAATATATTATATATGTATATATAAACAATATATATATATTGTTTTATTAAATTTACATATTAACTTTTTAATATGTATAAAGCATTTATTAATAATAATAATAATAATAATAATAATAATAATAACAATATCAACAACTACAACAGCATCAGAATTTGTCAGAATATATCTTGTGATTCCTACAGTTACACAGAAACTTTCCAAACTATGAGCTGTGACAAGCGCACGCTCACGCACACACACTCTCTCTCACTCGTGTGCTAATGCTGAGATCAGTCAGACTGGAACTGGAGTCTCGTCTGTCCGCATTGAGCGGTTTCATTAGTTATGAACACATAGATTATTTACTTGGTTGCAGCCTGTGAAGCGCAGACCGTCTGTTTTTAAAGGTAAAAGATTGTATTAGTTCATAATACTGCTGTTGTTATGTTTCGCTCCGTTTGTTTGTTTTTTGACGGTCGAGGCTGTCACTATCTAATCCGTAACAACTTTTGCAAAGTCTAGGCTGCTGATATTTCTGAAGTAAATCTGTGTTTTCGGCGTCTTTGTGTCGTTTAGAAGCTAGAATAACTTGACGTTTTCACTAAGCTGTTCTCAGCCTAAAGTTTCTTGTAAATAAACTTCATGTGACTTCGTTTTTTACTACATGTGATTGGTCTTAAACACATTGATGTCGATATTAAGATGGAGAATTGTATAAGGTATACATTGGTAGATCACATTATGCAACATTAGATGTATTTACTAAAATGGGCAACATTTGTGGCTTTTTTTCTTCCCTTTATATATATATATAATATATATATATATATATATATATATATATGTATATATAATATCGTACTTTCTGCTTAATAATATAGGCTAATTTCTGAAAAATATTCTTTGCTAATTCTCAGTCATTAATGGTAGCCAATGACAAAAGTACAACTTTATTCAGAGTAAATAAGTAGTACTAATGTTGTTTTGAAGTCATACTTACATGTGATTTCAGACTGAATATTTAAAGTAGTGTAGTAAAAAATATAGGGACGGTGTCACAAGTTGTCACTGTTAAAAAATGAACAAATGTGTGTATATAAAACCAACTATAACTCGTAAACTACTAGTAAACTAAAGCATATGCTACTTCCAAATGTTCCTTGAGGTCTGTACTGCAATTTAGGTGTAATTTGATTTAGCATGGCTGTGTGAAAGTAAAATACTTTAATTTCAATACAACAAGATGGCTATTTTACATTTCAAGTGTAAATTGTTGCTAGCTGTTCCCATGAGATTCAGTGTTTTGTGTTAAAACCTTGAACTTCAGAAGGACAGGATGCTTTGTGGTCACCAGTCTACTTCCTTACCTTTTTTCAGAGTGTGAGGTGTGGCCCACGCCGGTTTCCACTTCAGTAGCCTGCTCAAACACTAATACATCTTCTCAAATCTTATATACACAGTGTTGCTACAGTATAAGTCATTGGATTATGTGCTGTTTCGCAGTTGTACGTTAAACAGAGGAAGTGGGCCAACAGAAAGCATGTGTTTCTGTTTGAAATCCTCCAGTGAGAACTAATGAACCACAATCACACTGACATGTGGCCTGCTGCACATGGGTATGCTCGGAAAGAAGCTGTGTTCAGTGTTACTCTAGCTTTGGAGGCACATGGAGATGTGCCTTACATAATAGAATTGTGCTTTATTGTTGATGTTTTAATGAAATTTTGAGTTTAAAAATTGTTTTTGAAAATTGTGTTTGTATTATGGCTGTGGTATATATTATGAGATCATCTGGGAAGAAACAAACATGTTGTTGACTCATCCAATAATAGAATCGTTGCTTCTTTTTTTCTTTTGGTTCAAGAACCGTGTGGTTTTGAAACGATGTGAGTCATTACTTTGCTTTTTTTTATCTGGATGATATGTCTTACTAATTATGACCTTTAAATGTTATCTAAATGTGTAGAACTTTCCAAGTTTGTTGTGCACTTCAGTGGTTTTGGTAGCTAGCTTTTTTTAGTGGATTTGAAGACAACGCTGGTAAAGGTACTGATATTAAAAGGCTGAACGTTAAAGACACTCTTGAGAAATACCTTACATCTTTCTTTTAGTATCCAGAGTTGAGGAGGGCACTCGCGTTGTCTCTGGGGAAAGGTCTAAGGAAAACTGGGTTCGTGAGCAGTGTTGGGTGTAATTAGTTAATGTAATTGGATTACTTTTTGGCAGAAAAAGTAAAGTATTTCAGATAATTTATTTTTTTTCTGTACATAAAGTCATGAGTTCTGGATAAATCAATTTAGAGATTGAATTAATGGATCAAGAATATTGAACATGCTTGAGAAACAATGAGTATGTTTAGAGTACACGGACACCAATTCTCTGATTTTTTTATGATTAAGAAAATACTCTGATTAAAAGTCTACCATGTAAACCGATTTTTTATTTTATTATTATTTTTTTGGTTAATTTAATCAGATTAAGGTCATAATCAAACTGAACTGAAATCGAATTGAGATATGTGGAGTATGCTGATTTAGTCACATTATTGAAGTGCAGTACAGACATGTAAACACTTAATCAAGCTATTATCGTCTTGTAGGATTTTCACCACATTTTGCGACAGGATAGTCTAGACATACTGGACACACACGGCTGTTGTCAGCGAAAGACCACAGACACCTGAATCGCAAAATGCTGAGTTTTTTTTCCCCCATACGGCGTGCGAATGAATCACCGGAAATTATATGAAACTCCGGAGGAAATGTGGAAAACGTGGTGACACAATGACATTAATCGAATTATGTGCTATAACATGTTAAACGGGATCATGAAAGGATCATACAAAAAGCAACTCATGTAAACACCTTAATTATATTATAGTCTTATTCAGATTAGACACATAATTTGATTACTGATGTCCATGTAAGCATAGCCATTGAATTGAGTCCGCAATTTATGTCAAAATATATGTATACTGTGAAAAATGCTGGGTTCTACACAATTCTTTCATGTTGTTCAAACGCAAATTCGACTTAAGTTTATCAGTTAACTTAATAAAATCCAGTTAAATTTGTAAAAACATTTAAGTTTTTCCCAAACAAAATCAAGAATTTTGTTCATCTCATTTTAAGTAGTTTGAACAGCAGCAAAAATCATTTTTGAGTGTATGAAATGTATTCTGTTTTAGTACATATAATGTTAATTAGATTTTAAGTGTTAAATTTTTTGAATAAAGCTAAAATGTCCTTTTTGCTTTTAATTTCTATTATCTATATGTGGCATTGAGACACTCACCGACCATTTATTAGGTACACCTGGGGGCTGTTCCAGAAAGCAGGTTATGTGACATACCCGGGTAAGTTTGAGAGTAAGTAGGTGGATAGCCTCAACTTTGGTTCCAAAATCGGAGGTAACTTCTGGGTATGTTAAGTAGCCATAGCAACTTACTCTCTGAAGATAACCTGCTCTGGAGCAGGTTATCTTCAGAGAGTAAGTTGCTATGTTTTAGAGTTTGTCTGTTTCAGAGAGTTTACATGCATGCTCTTTTGATGGAAATATTTATGGATGTGGACACACAGATACAAGTTTTTTCGTTGTGAGAGGGTTATAAGTGCATAGTTTTTTCATAACCAAATTCATAATGTTAATGTATTTAACAAACCTTTTTGAAATCAAATGTGACAAACCCCGGGTCTGCGCTTACCATAAAAAAAACATTCAGTGCAGCTCTTTGTATTCACGTCAGGGCATTTTAGGCAACTGTACAATGTGGCAGTATGACCACCTGTACAGTATGCCTGGCACTGAACTGTTTTTTACACTTTTGTACAGTTCCTTGGTCATACATTACTGCGTATCATTACACAGATGATTCAGAGCACGGAAATAGTGTAGTGGACAGTGCGTCGATAAAGAACAACGGAGCGCACAACGGAGCGATTTCGAATCTCACTTACAGATCTTGTGTTTTTTCTCTCCTTCTGCACCCTCACATTTTTCTGTATAATATTATAAGTGGCAGCTTTGTCTTTTGTAGGAAAATATATCTATAATTTAAGATGTAGGAGGTCGTTCTTATATATATACATTCACACACACACCTACATTTTTTAATATAATATTTTTTTTAGGGTTTCTAAATGCTATTGTGTGCATTAATTGCAGCCGATTTTAAAGCTCCATCAGTCACTAAAGGACACTGATAATATAAAATTTGTCCAAAGTATAAGTGTGCAGGTACAACTTAATTTTCTATCCTTAATCTTTTGGTGTTTCAACTATTAAACTCATTACTGCTTCCACTTACCAGCTCATCACACACCCCACCTCATCACTATGTTGAGGCTAAATGGCTGATTTTCAGGAAGTAATGATTCAAGTGTATAATAAAAATATAGTAAAAAAAACTATAAAGCAAATGTTGCTTAACACAATGTTTATTTTTATTATATTTGTATTATAAAATAGAATCATTACTGGGCACTACATTGTTACTTGCTGGAGGACAAAAGATACCCTTTTCTGCCTTATACGATGACACGTACCTGCAGCCTGACCCAGAGGAAATCTCAGTGACCCAAGCAGACAAAACAGATGGAAGAGTGCTAAAAATATATAATTAGTCAAAAAACTATGTTTAATCAAATAGTTTGGTCTGTTCATTTCTTCATTTCCTGAAATAAAATGAATGATTTTGTACACTGCTTTATACACGCACCTTTCAACGTGTAACATATTTTTCATATACATTTCTCACCTTAGTTGATGCTCATGTGACTTTTATCTTTGAAGATGGACCTTATACAGCTACTTGAGAATTTAAATATGTAGATAAAAGATTTTGTGATCCAAGAGTAATATTCAAATATGGAAAAGTGCAGAAAATTCTTACACTGCTTGTTAGTTGAAGCAGAAGGAACTTCGTCTGCATGCAAAATAAAAAGAACCTAAAGCTATCTGACAACAATCACTTACAACAGTGACAGAGTGTGTGGTTTAAGTCAAAAACTCAACCACTGAAAAGCCTTTATAATAGGACACAGCAGTTAGACATGCCTCTTTCTATTAGCTGCATGTCAGAAAGAATATTCTAGAGTGTTAAATAAAGAGCTCCAGTAATTAAATATTACCTTTTATGATAATGTTTCTGTGTTTAATGACTTTGGACAGAGTTCTAGCTCCAGAAAGATTACAATTTCTATAAGCCTTATTAGTCAATACACAAATTGTGGCCTTAAGAAATTAATGGAAGGAAAATTAAATGCATGAATGGTTACACAACATACTCAAAAAGGATGTTAAATAGTAGTTTAATTTATCATTACAATAAAATGGAGGGTGGCATGTGTAATTTAATGAACTAACAAACTTTCTTATTATTTATTTTTTTCTTTTCTTATCTATTTCT